GGGCTACACTCTGCTGCCTGAGGACTTCTACAAGCACGTTTGAATTTAAGCAACAAAAGGTGGAAACCTTTTGTAAAAGTTGTTACTGTTCCCTAATTCCCCCAAACAGCAGAACATACCAAGATGTTTAAAACAAACAAATATTCTAAATCAGAAATATCTTCTATCCAAATATTATAAACAAAGAAACTTTTCCAGTTTCTATGCCCTTATCCAAATAAAGTGCTTTCTGAAAGGCATGTGTCAGGGAAATCTCCAAAATATCTGAAGTATGTCATAAAATGGCTTTTTTCTGTGCCTTTCAAAATTATATTTCATTTTGGCTTTGGCCAGCTTTTTATTGACTGAAGCTCTAAGAGTAGCCAAGGATAATGTCTATGTTTCTGAATTATTTCTGGTCAGTTTCACAGAAACATGGCAGGAGATGGTTACTCTACTTAAAAGAGCTGACAATGGAAAGAGAAGGTGACATACATAAGGTTTAAATGCTTATCAGGTATAGATAGCAGGACTAATCATCGTGAACGAAAGTGGAAAATGTACTCATTCTAAAAGTATGGTGTTCACACTGGATCATTAATTCATATCCTACTGTGTACAGACCACATGACTTTGATAGAGGACCTGACAAGTTTAGTCTTGGGCTAAGTTTTATTAATACCTGTGTATAGGCCACAACTCCTCACTTTCTGCACATATATCAACTCTTTTAATGCACATATTATAATTGCTCTATCAGATGTGGCATAAATGGAAAACAATATGCAGGACCCCTTCAAAAAGGCAGCATTGTAGTGTTACTTTTTCTTATAGATTAGGTAAAATATATTTTTGGTACTTTGAGACTATATTGATTCACATTTCTAAATTCAAAATAAAGTAGTAAAATAGCAGCTTCTGCTGCTGTGGAAGTACCACTGGAACCCAAACTTCCAACAACAGAAAAGAAATACAATCAGCCTGGGCAAAGAGTTTATGAAGAAGTCCCCAAAGGCAATCACAGCAGCAACAAAAATAAATAAATGGGACATGATCAAACTACAAAGCTTCTGCACAGCCAAAGAGACAGTCATGAAAGTAAATAGACAACCTACAGAATGGGAGAAAATTTTTGCATCCTATGCATCCTATAAGGGACTGATAACTAGAATATACTTAGAACTCATGAAAATCAGGAAGAAAAAATCAAATAACCCCATTAAAAAGTGGGCAAAGGACTTGAACAGAAACTTTTCTAAAGAAGACAGAAGAATGGCCAACAAACATATGAAAAAATGCTCAACATCTCTAATCATCAGGGAAATGCAAATCAAAACCACAATGAGATATCACTTAACCCCAGTGACAATGGCCTTTATCAAAAAATCTCCAAACAATAAATGCTGGCGTGGTTGTGGAGAGAGAGGAACACTCCTACACTGCTGGTGGGACTGCAAACTAGTTCAACCTCTGTGGAAAGCAATATGGAGATATCTTAAAGCAATACAAGTGATTCTACCATTTGATCCAGCAATCCCATTGCTGGGCATCTACCCAAAAGATCCAATGACACTCTACAAAAAAGACACCTGCACTCAAATGTTTATAGCAGCACAATTCATAATTGCAAGGCTGTGGAAACAGCCCAAGTGCCCATTAATCCAAGAATGGATTAATAAAATGTGGTATATGTATACCATGGAGTACTATTCAGCTCTAAGAAATAATGGTGACATAGCACATCTTATATTTTCCTGGTTAGAGCTGGAACCCATACTATTAAGTGAAGTTTCCCAAGAATGGAAAAACAAGCACCACATATACTCACCAGCAAATTGGTATTAACTGAACAGCACCTAAGTGGTCACATAGGTACTACAGTAATAGGGTATTGGGCCGGTGGGAGGGGGGAGGGGGGCAGGTATATACATACATAATGAGTGAGATGTGCACCATCTGGGGGATGGTCATGATGGAGACTCAGACTTGTGGGGGAAGGGGGGGAAATGGGCATTTATTGAAACCTTAAAATCTGTACCCCCATAATATGCCGAAATAAAAAAAAAAGAAATACAGTATACAGGGGGCATTTCCAAGTCAGCTGAAAGTCAGTCTCCATGTACTTTGTTTTCAGGTTCTGTCTTTTTTGGCTAAAATGTAGGGAGTTCTTAGACACTGCGCTATGAATTGCACATAAATTTCTCATTTAATCCCTCCAACAATGCTATGAGGTTGGTACTATTATTATTATTGTTGTTTATGTATGTTTCCATTTAAAGATACATTATTTAATATATATTGTTGATTAATTAACATTGAACTCACAGCCAGCAGCACTATAACTCATGGCTGAATGAAGCTTATCTAACGCATATATTTTTTTTTCATAAGGTACATCACAGTTTTCTGATGCTTAGGAACAAGAGACAGAAAAACTATGTGTAGTGACTATTTTGAACACTAAAATCACTGAGAAAACCCTACAAAAATGTGACAAATGTGGCACTAAATAACTATGAAAAGATTACAATCTGAAAGCTGAAACAAGAAGGCAGAGCATTGCCTTGTTAGAACTCAGCTGTGAATTTGTGCGTTGTATGACCCAAAGTTATTGCTGCTCTGCACCTGACTTCTGCGTGTCTGTGGGGACTCTGCAAATGACCATGAAAGTGCCATGAATATTGGTTTGGGTGATACAAATAAATTTTAGCAAGTAGACACAAATATGAAGTACATTCTCAAGTACAATATCTATGAATAATGAAGATCAACTATGTTAGTTTTTCATATTTTTTTTTGTGATGTAGCTTCTTATCCTGTTGGATCCTTCATTACTGAATCAGATAAGTATTTGACATACACTCACTGTGTTTATATGAGGGTTATAGTTTTAACTTTTCAAAAATCAAAACAGAAAATTAAACACTTTTGTAGAAGAATGAAACAAGATCCATCTCTCTCATAACTCGCAGAATTTAATTCAAGGTGGATAAAAAACTTAAATGTGAGGCATGAAATCATAAGAATTCTGAAAGAAGATGTTGGAAAATCTCCTCTAGATATCAGCCTAGGCAAATAATTTATGAAGAAGACCCCAATGGCCATCACAGCAACAACAAAAATAAATAAATGAGACTTGATTAAATTAAAACGCTTCTGAACAGCCAAGGAAATAATCAACAGAGCAAATAAACAACCTACAGAATGAGAGAAAATATTTACATGCTATATATCTGATAAAGGGCTAATAACTAGAATCTACAAAGAGCTCAAGCAAATCATCAAGAAAAAAAATCAAACAAACCCATTAAAAAGTGGGCAAAGGACGTGAACAGAAACTTTTCAAAGGAAGATAGACAAATGGCCAATAAAAATATGAAAAAAATGCTTCTCACTAATCATCAGGGAAATGCAAATTAAAATCACAATAACACCTTACCCCAATTAGATGGCTTTTTTTAAAAAGTCCAAAAACAATAGATGCTGGTGTGGATGCAGAGACAAAGGAACACTTCTACACTGTTAGTAGGACTGCAAATTAGTACAATCTCTATGGAAAACAGTATGGAGATATCTCAGAGAACTAAAAGTAGATCTGCCATTGGACCTAACAATCCTATTACTGGGTATTTACTCAAAGGAAAATAAGTCATTTTATCAAAAAGACACTTGCACTTTCATGTTTATTGCAGGCAATTCACAATTGCAAAGATGCGGAATCAACCCAAGTGCCATCAATTCCTGATTGAATTAACAAAATGTGATATATGTATGCCATGGAGTACTACTCAGCCATGAAAAGGATGACTTAATGCCTTTTGCAACTATTTGTATGGAACTGGAGACCATTATCCTAAGTGAAGTATCTAAGGAATGGAAAAACAAACACCACATGCACTCACTGTTAAATTGGAACTAACCGATGAACACACATGTGCACAGAGGGAAGTAATACTCAATGAAAATAAAGCAGAGGGGAGATGGGAGGAGAGGATGGGTGAAAACCTACCTAATGGGTACAATGAACACTATCTGGGTGGTGGGAAACACTTATAACTCTGACTCAAGCATGACAAAAATGATCCATGGAACCAAAAACATTTGTACTGCCGTAATGTTTTGAAATTTTAAAAAATAAAACAAACAAAAAGAAACATTCTGGAAATAAAAGAAAGAAAGAAGATCAAACACTTTTCAGGTGTTAACATTTGTTATTTAGGTAGAAAAAAATGTCCAATGTCTTGTAGCATTTTAGGGCAATAGTTATTCTAGGTTTATTTTATGTTATTTTAAACAAATTTTTATTGATGTATAATATATATCCATAGTTTCAGGGTGCATGTGGCAATTTAATATAGTTATATAATTTCTAGAAATCAAATTAGTGTACTTGGGATATCCAACATCTTAAATATTTGTCTTTTCTTTATGTTATAAATATTTGAATTATTCTTTTCTAGCTATTTTTAAACGTACAAAAGGTTATTGTAAACTACAGTCACCCTAATGATCTATCGGATACTAGATCTTATTTCTTCTATCAAACTATATATTTGTATCCAGTAATCCTGCGTCCCATTACAGGCCACAGACTGGTACTGGGCCGTGGCCTGTTAGGGACCAGGCTGCAGAGATCTGCCAGACCCCCGCCAGACCCCCCTCCCCCATCCGCGGAAAAATTGTCTTCCATGAAACTTAGGAAGGGGGAGTGCACAGCAGGAGCTGAGTGGTGAGCAGTGGCAGCCACTCCCCATCCTCTCATCACCACCTGAGCTCCCTGACTCCCCGTCCCCATCCTGTTGGAAAAATTCTCTTCCATGAAACCAGTCCCTGTTGCCAAAAAGGTCGGGACCGCTGCTGGATTAATCAACTTCTCTTAATTCTCTCCTTCCCGCTACCCTTCCCAGCCTCTGCTCCCAGGTTTATTTTAGTGACATGAATCCCAGCCTGGTAGGAACTGGGTCTGGAGGCAAATGTAGTGGCAGATAGCTTACTGTACTCACAGCCTTCTCTCCCTTCAGGCGTTCCTGAGCTAAGCTCCAGCATCTGGCTCATGTTTCCCTCAGGATGAGTTCTCCTGCCTCAGGAGGCTCTTAGTTGTCAGGCAAACAGGCTGCAACTGAGCTCACCCACAACTTCCAGATGTGTCTGAATCCAAGCCTGAATTTAAGCTGGAACTCCTAGAGAAAGGTGGGAAGCTAGTCTTTGGGATCATAGAAAACGTAAAATCAGGAAGTCTGTGGTCAGGAAAGTTTCAGCAAGATTAAACCAAGCAAAACTCTAAGGGGAAAGGCTCTCCCCTAAGGTGAATCATCTGTCCTCTGAGGAAATCTCTTTCAGCATCGAGCTGTCTGGAACCAAAGGCCCAGGTCTATCTTTTCCTTCCCTTCCCTACTCTTCCCTCTTCTCCTCTCCCCTCTCCTTCTTCCCTCCAGTTCCCTCTCTTTTCTTACCCTGGCGCAACCTAAATTGTCTCATAGCCTCAATTAGGAGGGACTTTGCTCCCCAGGAGACATTGGTAATGTCTAGACATTTTCGATAAGGGTAAGGGGATAGATAAAGAGTAATCCAAAATATTAATAGTGCCATAGTCAAGAAACTGTGGTTTACCCAGGGATCAGCAAACTTCTTCTGTAAAGGGCTAGAAAGTAAATATTTTTAGGACATATTCTTTAGGCAATTACTCAACTGGTAATGTGAAACCAAATATAGACAATGTATAAACAAATGAGTGTGGCTGTTTTATAATAAAATTTTATTTATGGACACTGACTGAGATTTTAATTTCACTTAATTTTCACGTTACAAAATATTATTTTTCATTTGATTTTTTTTCAAATGATTTAATAATATAAAAGCATTCTTAGCCTGTAGCCCACACTATAACAGTGGGCATGATTTGGTCCAAGGTCTTAGTGAATAGAAAGCTTTCTTCCATCTCTTTTATAGTAAGCACAGTATTTTCATTCAGCAAAGCTATTTATTCCTTTTTTGTTTTTTTTCACTTACAGCATTTTAAAGTATGATTTGTGTTGTGTGTTGAATACCAGTAATTCAGCTAAGAAGAGCTGTGGATGAAGAATAGTCCTTTTTATGTAAGCAATGATGTTATCATCATTAAGAACTGAATTTTTAATGGTCTTGTGGACTGGGTAAAATTGTTCTTTTCTTAAGTGTTTATTATTTGCTTATTTAATCGTGGTCCCCTCTTTCTGCTCTTGGCTTATGTTGCCTCCGTGCTGGATTTTCAGAGCGAAGCCAGACCCAATTTTCTGTGGAGCTGAAATTTCACCAGAGGTAAGTTCATTCAGATCCTGGGTCATTTACATTTCAAGTCTGCAATTTGATCTGATTATCACTGGCTGAGATGAAACACTAAGAGCTTTATCTTGTGGGCTGAACTGGATAACCCATCCCAAAGGCTGGGGTAAAACAGGGAGAAATTGGGAATCAGTTTTTATTTCTTAGCAGTGGAATATCATGGAAGAGTTACTCAAACACCATTTTCCAAAGGGCAACTGAGCGTCAAGTTTTTGCTGAGGAGCCAAGAAGGGAGAAACACTTCCTGGAACCCAGAGCTGCCAGGGTGGAAAGGAAGGAAGAATGGAAGGAGAACAAAAAAGGGTTATTATAGGACAGGCTGAGACATGCCTAAGAAAAGGGAAGAGTCCAGTATTGTGCTTCTAGTACTTTCTCCTTTCCTAAGTGGTACAAAGAGTACCTGAAAATACTTCTAGAGCTGTTAAGAGAGTTTGCTACAATGGCCAAATACAACATAAAATATGTAAACCTTACTAATTTCTCTAAGTTTAGCTATTAGAAGACCTGACAAAGAAAACAAAAGATACCATTTCCAGTGTCAACAAATGACACAAAATAGCTAAGAATAATGCTATCAAGAAATATGAAACAGAACATACATGATGAAAACTACAACATCATACTGAAAGGGATAAAGAAAAAAACTGAGTCAATGGAGAGACCTATAATATCAATCAGGGTCTGTCAGTGAAGCTGAACAATTACAAGTGATACAGAATAAGGGGTTTATTCAATTGTGGGAACCAGTTGAGAAGTCAATGCAGGGCTGTTGTTTCTGCATCTGATGCTGGCCTGGTGTCAACAGAGAAAGAAAGATGGTCTTAAGTGGGGGAGAACAGGGACAAACTGGAAGCATCTTTCATCACCTCCAATCTTAGGGACATGGATGACCTGCAGGATAAGCTGGCACCCTTCACCACAGGGAACCCGCCACATAAATCCAACCCACATTCAGAGATGCTGAAGGAGGAGGTCTGGCGTGAACTGGAGGAGCTGTGGGCCCAACTGCAGCTTTATTTCCACCCTGCAAATCTTCCATAAATTCCCCTTGTGGCCAACCCTAACCGGAAACCACACAGCAGAGGAAAGTCTGAGAAACAGTTCTAGCTTAGATAAATTGATCCTGCGTAACGCAGTTGTACATAACATGTCTCTGGATAATAACATTAGAGCAAACACATAGCATTTAATATATGCTAGACACTCTTCTAAGTGTTTTGCATTTATTAACTCATTTTAATCTTCACCCCAACTCTCTGAAGTAGGTATGATTATTAGCCTCATTTTATAAATGAGGAAACTGAGACTTAAAGTAGAATAGCTTGCCTGTGGCCACACAGCTTGCGAGTGGCAAAGCCATCATTTAAACCCACACAGTCTAGAAAGACTTGTTAAAATGTCAAGCCTCCCCAGATTAATGTATTTTAATATAATCTCAGTTAAAATCCTAATAGGCTGAGTGTTGAGAATTTTTGAAATTTTTCTAAAGGGTATGTTGAAGAATAAACATGTGACTTCACACTATACAACTCCAATAACTGAAACGTAATCAATATAGAATCAAAGATAGCCCTAAACGGAGCTTGATATACAAACCTAGAAAAGAAGGGCTAGAACCTGGCCAACCGATCTGTGAAAACTGGCTCCTGTGAAAGAGCCCCATGCGATCCTCACCATCCCTGCAGCCCCCTGTGACTGGGACATTGAAGGAGGCAGGGCCACCCCTGCATGCAATCTTGCCACATTGGCCCCTTCTTCGGGGTGCCTGAGTACTGTCCAGGGAAGATAGGTCCCATCATTTACCCCACCGTTTCTAGCTAAGAAGCCCTCCGATCACATTCAGTCAAGGGGCAGGAAGGTCGAATTGACAGGCACTGAGGTAGTCTGGTGTCAGCTCCCCTGGCTGTCACAGATGTTCAAGCTGGCTCTTTATCATGCAGGGCTTTTCACAAGGGGGTGCCCTAAAATTCCCTTCATGGACCCCTTCTACTGCAGATCTGTTGGGGGCAGAGCTTCTCCATGGGCTGGTTCCTATCTCCTGCCTCAGTCTCTTTCTCGTAAGGGCTGCCATGCACATTTTTGCACATGTTCTTGAGAAAGGTGTAAGTGGCCAACTATCCTGATTTGTCTGGGACTGAGGGGTTTCCCAGGAAGTGAGACTTTCAGTTCTAAAACTAGGACAGTCCTAGGCAAACCAGGATGGTTGGTCACCACAGAAGGTCCCTTTTAAACAACACAAGTCTGACCTCCTCCCCACCCCTCCTGTCCACATCTGGCCCCTGAAAAATAAGCACTTTTCCCACCATTACTTCCTAAGCACAGCCCTCTGCTGCCATGGGCCGTGTTAGCTAATCTGTCACTAGAGAATACTGGGGTGGGCTTGAGTCCGACTCTGGTCCATGATATCCCAAAATACCACAAAACCACATATCAAGACCTAAGAGTGGCCTCCTCAAAGCCCCCAGCAGGGCTTGAGATAAGGGGGAAGAACCCCAATTCCTTTCTTCTTCCAGTATTGTGGGATCCCCTCCCCAAACAACTCTCTCTAGATAAACCCATCCTCCCTTGGCATTTCATTGTCAGTCTTTTGAGGGCTTTTTCTGTGGGTGGGCTAAGGGGTGTCTGCCACTCCTTCACCAGAGCTGTTAAAAACCCCACTTCACAATGTGGGAGTACCTGCCATTTAAAAAAACAACACACAGCCACTTCAGGCCTCGGGAAACACTGTGACAGAAAGTATTAGATATCATGTTTTCATATAATGTTTCGTAGAACCATTAACCACAAAAATGAAAATTTCCAGGCAGGAGAAGATTATGAAGGATGAAAATAATTGATTCGATACACAGAAAGGTTAAATTTCTGTATGTCAAAAATTATATACAAATGTGAAAGTTAAATGACAATCAAGAATATATTTCCAACAAAATAAGGAGCTAATAAACATAATTATATTTTTAAAAACTTATAAATAATAATAATCTTACAAGTAATAATCTTTATAATAATCTTATAAATAATAATAGTAAATAATAATCTAGAATCTACATCTCACTGCCTGTATCTCCACTTCTCTTGTTCAAGCCACTTGTACCAATTTTCTGGCCTAGAAGCATATAGATTTAGGATAATGGGACACCCTTCCTGCTGCCTTATATTCTGCTCACCACCAAACAGTCAGGATGATCCTTTAAAAATGTAAACCAGATCATGCCATCACTCTATTTGGACTTTCTATACAGTTCTCCATTGCATTTAAAATAACATCAAAGCCCTTGCACAACATGGCACAGAAGGCCCTGTGCCACCTGCTGCTGCCTGCATTTCTGACCTTATTTATACTCTATCACTCCATGAGGGCAAGGGCTCTGTTTATGGCTGTCATTCCCACACTTAGAACGGTGCCACCACAGAGCACGCCCTCACTTAATTTTTGTTGCATGCATGAATTAGTGGATGGATGACTGGGGGGAAAAAGATGAATGAAATATGCAGATTTTTTTTAAAGAAAGGAAACTATTCATCATTGCCTGTTTGATAAGTACATTCACACATACCACTTATAGAAATACAAATTTAGATATTTTGGGGAAGCAATTTGAAAATAAGAATGTAAGATATATGAAGTTCATATCTTTTTAAGGCTTAGCATTTTCAGTGCTAGAAATCCAGATATGGCATGCCAATATAAAAGGAGTTTATTACAGTATTGTTAATTGTAATAAAAAATTGAAAATAATCAAAATGTCCATAATTTAAGGAAGTGGTGTAGTAGATTTTAATAGGGGAAAGTTTTGATAAATTTATGTTTACTCATATGATAGAATATTATATAGGCATGAAAATGATTTCCAAACAAATTTTCATTCCTAGGTAATTCCTAGGAAAATGTGCATGACATGATGCTAAATAGAAAAGCTAAATACAAAATTTTAGATATCATATTATCATAATTTAAAAAATATATGCATAAAAACCTGGTGTAAATCTTTATGATGTTAACTGATTAAAATTCTGGTTTGTTAAGATAACTGGTGATTTAAATTTTCTTTTTTATACTTTATTTAAATTTCACTTCTTATTATTTTTAGAATCAGAAAATTATATAAAATTTATTTTAAAAATCATTGTAATTGACAGAGAAACTGCTAACCAATGAATGCTGTTGGTCATGCCTTACAAAGCAAGGCCAGATAACCATTTAGTATAATTTAAGTTCAATCCTATGGCTCAGATGTGTGTAAAAAGGAACTTCCTATATTTGCCATGACTGGTCTCATTTTACCTTCTCTCATCCCTCTTTATGGTAGAAAATATTTGATTTGTCAGGTAAAGTTGTCTCCATCTTATTTAGTTTGAAATAGTATCTTTTGGGTAATTGTTCTGTTCTACTTATGGTGTTTTCCATCTCTTCCTTCTCTGGTTGATGTAAATCTGGGAAACATGATTCATAAGTTGGCTCTAGAAAAAGGTCATTTGGTCCTTGCTGGCCCTAATTACAGTGGCCTACTTCATTTGGCCACTTGCTACATCTGCCAGAGTGTCTCTTGGTCTCTCAGTCTCAGGGGTCCTGCTGTGTTGAGCACAGGGGTGAGGCTAGTCCCACCAGCTGTTTGGGGAAGTGTTTGCAACTGATGTTTATATTAAATAACAACTAGCTTGTATTGAACACATACTCTGTGTAAGAGCGTTGTTCCAACAACCTGAGGTGTAATTCTCATGTAATTCTCATACTAGCTCTGTGAGATAGGTGCAGACAAGGAAATTGAGGTTTACAGAGACTAAATACCTTGGCCACAGCCTGTAAGAGTCAAGGCCAGAATGTCCATGGACTTTGCTGCTGCCCCAGTTATCAGATCCCCTCAAACTATATAGCCTTCTCACTTGACCCCAGGTCTCCTCTGGACCCCGTCCTCAAGGGTCCAGGAACTCTTGGCTGTTTTTCCACAGGCTACTGGAGTGGTCAGACCTATGGT